GTTTTTCTTTTAATGATGCTAGTGAGAGTACCTCAAAACATTTTTCTAAAGAAACCAATCATTTTAAAAACAGCTTAGATATAGTCTAACCAAAAAAAACTCATGATATTCATTTTCAAGGTCCTCTAAAGTTACACAAATGAAACAGCAAACTATGATTAAAAGAAGTATTTTTGTTCTCAGCATGACAATCCTCTTTCACTCAGTAAGCTGAACAAACTTGAATTATGAAAACATAATAATGAGAAATTATAATCTCAATATTTCATTTACTTGGATAGTTAGAATAATCAAAAACAATAATAATGGAAACAATAATTTTGATTAGATTTTTATTTTTATAGTCTTAAATGTTAAATACATGACTACACTGAGTTAATAGAAGCTATGAAAGTATACAAACTATAACTAAATATACTAAGTTTACGAAATTTGAGAAAATTTTGTAAATATTGCAAGTCTGTTGTACACAAAAAAAACAGATTTTTTTAATAAAGTATTTCTACAAAATATTTGTAAATTTATGAAGTCTTTATTGATTAGTGCCAGACTCATGAAAATAATCAGCTAATTGAATATTTTACAAAACACATTGCACAGTTAATTCTTTCTTTCCTACAAACAGTATATAATAAATCTATATGAAGATACAATGGGTAAATTAAACATTGTCATTTAAAGTACGATAAAACAGTTCACAAACATATATAAGACTAATTTTACTAGTTTTAAGCTTTTGTAACAATAAGAATGCAAAATTTAGCTCTCAACTGTATGTTCCATTCAGGAATATAACTTGTTGTTCACCTTCCTACAGAGAAATACAATACTGTAAGCCTAATTACACTTTCAAATGCAAAAATTCCTAAATTAGTCTTGTTAATGTTTTGAGAGATACTTTATAAAAAGATGACAAAATTATTTCTAAGTTTAACTTGAAAATACATTCTATCTTTCCTTGTTCTTTGAATGAAGTCCTGCAGCATTAACTTATATTGATGATAACTTTTAAGTAAGTTTTCATTAAATAAATATCTTATACCAGAAATGAAAAAGATAGGTTCGGTTATTAATATTTTAAGAACTTAAATTACAGTATCCAAGTGAAGTTAGTTCCATGTTAGCAGAATATGTACAATTGCACTGTACTCTGGTACACGACAATTGTAGGATATCAATGATATGCACAGAACATTCCTTGACACTTTGTTGTTGTTGTTTTTTCTACAAAACACTCCTGTTCAGAAAAATGGATAATATTCCAGTAATTTTAAGTGATACTTTACCAGTGCAGAAGTTAACTAACCATTGTTACATATATATTGTCTTTTGGCTCGGTTTACTGTAAAGCTGGGTAATTAACTTGATATAACGAATTACCTATAAGCACTCATAATGTCTCGTAAAATAACTGGTTAATTCAAATTATGATTAAATCAATTAAGGTCACAAAAATAATCAACTAATCAAAATTATTGTTTCCCATTATTACTGTTTTTGATTATTTCAACTATCTAAGTAATTGAAGTATTGCAATTATAATTTATCATTATGATTTTTGATTAATTCAAGTCTGTTCAGCTCAGTTGGTTGGTGTCAGACTCATAAAAATAACTATCTAATTAAAGTCTAGTTTTTTTTATTATTCCAGCCATTCAGTATCCAAGTATGTTCAGCTGTAGGCTGACATACCAGGTTATTAAGGGGTATTGCCTCTTAGTCTAGGGTTCAATTCCTGTTGCCACCAAACATGTTCGTCCTTTCAGTAATGGGTGTGTTACATTTGTTTTTGAGTTATGGCAAAGCTACCATGTCTATGTGCAACTACCTTTAGTTTTGAACTGCCAACCAGTGGGAAAGCAATCAGTCAGCAGGACCCATTACTAACTGTTGTACTAATCTTTCCCCAGTGAATACTGGGACTGACTCCCACTATTGACCATGACATACAGTTGAAATGTGAACATTCTGGTGGCAATGAGTATTGAATTCACAATTCTTAATTCATGAGACACACACCCTAACCACCAAGCTATGCCAGCCTAAGGGTATAAGTTACTTTCTTATTAAATTACTAAATTGGAAAACAGCAATTTATAAGCACAATGAAAATTATTTAATATAGAGAAGATACTATATTTTCAACAGAACATTGGTCTGTCTTTTTATTAAGCTTATTGAAGATCTGTGAACAACTCAGTTTTGTAAGATTTGGAAACAAATATCAATTAAAAGACTCTAAATAACCCCTAGTAACTAAAATAAAAATCTTTCATCTTTACTGAAATAAAAAGCTAACAAGAGAAAAAACTTAAATATAGGTAAGTCTATACTGCACATGTATAAACAAAGGTTTATTTTTAATTTCTTAGATTTTTTAAAATAGTTTGAAAATACCATACAATAATCAATTAAAGGAATAAAACAGAAATAAGGACTATTTGTACAGGTTGTTGGATATAAAATCATGTTTTACTTGTTTTTTCAAATAGAGGACTGCTTTACACTGGAGTGCATTACATGGAAATGCTGAGCATATTCGCCTCTTGCTTAACAAAGTAAGTCACATGTGCATGTAACTCTCCAAAATTTACTGGAAGTAATTCAATTATATTTTCAAATGGTATTTTTTATAAAACATTATTTTATTTTATCTTACTCTGATTCTTAAAATTTTGCTCATTTGTCTGTTGTTCATTTTACCTCAGTTTCTTTCCAATTCTGCTACTGTATTTTATTTAGCAATAGCTGGTGCTAAAATAAAGTCTTTACGTAATAATAACAACAGTTTTACAAGCTTTCACATGGTTTGAAAATAGAAAGAGATGTTAGAATCAAACACTTTTTTAATAGTGGTTTTAATTATATTTACTAGAAATAACGCTTATATTTGGTTGGAAAAAAATTATTCAAAATGTTGTCTCAAACTAATTAAAAAACTGATATTTTGAAAAAATTACCAATTTACAGCAAATAATAATGAAGAATGGCTTGATTTCTATTGGACAATTGGTTGTTTTATTAGTTCTTATTATATCCATCAATAATAAAAACAATTGCTGTGTTACATCTTTAATATAAACAGCTATTTATGATCATAATACACTACCAATAACCAAATAAATTACCCCATACATGTGCAAAAAAAAATTAATACCATGTTGGGTTTAATAAATAATAATTACACAACAAAATATTCAGATATTCTTTAAATTAAAAAAAAAAACATTACAATAAAATTTCTAGCTATCTTACACACACATCTTAAAAAGTAGATCTGATATAAGAATAATTATTCAATTACTTAATAAGTATTTAGTTTTTACTGGTGGCAAATAAGTTATAGTTCCCACAAATCTAGTCTTTCATTATACCTTTTGGCCATCTTGCATATCAACCTGAACTGTTTGAAGCTTCTGTAAAATTAATGCCAAACATTGAGGTAATGGATGAGCTGCTGCTAAATGAAGAGGTGTCACACCATCCACATCCTTCTGATCCCATCGTGCACCACTGTCTAACAGAACTCTCACAAACCGTGGAAGTCCCTGGTAGGGATAATTTAAAATGCATATATTTAATACAAACAGAGAAGTACTAGATGTACTGAAAATGTCTCTCTCTGTATACATAGCAGCTCTCAGAGGTGTACAGTAATAAACTTACAACTGTCAAATGATTAGCTGAAATCTTTACTAACCTTATATATTTGAAAATTACACAACACTATATGACACCATGTTCTGATATAGAAGTTTCAAATACACATTACTGATTAAATATAATTCTTTAAAAGTGTTTTCTGTATTCATCCCTACCTTGTTTCTGTACTTACTGACATCTGTACATCATCCATATTTTTTCAAAATGTTTTTTTTACTTGTTCACCCTATTTTTTTAGACAATATCAATGAATATTTTATAATGAATGGAAGTCTCTGTGAAGGCAACAGTTTTAGCCTGGCATGATGAGTTGTCTTGATGGACATCATGTGTTGAAGTTAATGAAATGTTATACTGCTTCTGCACTACCCAAGTTAAAATGCAACATTTTAGTGTGTAAATCATCGCAACAATTTAATGCTTTGGTGAGCTGGCCCTTCTGATGCCAAAATCACAATAATCAGCAGAGCTGTTATGCTACTCACCGGTTCTCTACTTTAATAGTATGTTTTGGCTAAGCTAGAGGTCTTATAGCTTTTAAAAACATCAAAAACCCAAGTTAGGTGTTTATAAATCTCTTAGATTCTTATTACAGATTGGAGACTATAATGAGCAATGCATAATATGCATCAGCCATTTATTTCCTGGCCCATCTCTACATTCCATGCTTAGTAATAAGAAGAATGAGTTCATCTACAGTTAAGTATTTTAATGCTAAAAATCTAGATTTCAGATACAACACATTGTCATTAGATGACTTTGGAGATAGAATCTCCACTACGAAGACAAGAAAAAAGAACTGAAAAAAGAAAGAGGCACTATCCTTCTTGAGAGGGTGAAGTGGAAGCACTGACCATAAGAGAAATCTGGCTATGATCATTCATAAGTTCCTTCCAGAGGTTTATTGACATGAGAAAATTAGCACTTAAAAAGACTGTTGGGCTAAAATGTCATGTGGATAGTGCACTTATTAGGAACAGAGACCAGGAGCAACAGTCATGGTATGTTCTATTCTGGCTAAAAAACAGGATTGACAAGTGATCTTGGAACCAGTCAAAAGACACACACAGTTCAAGTAGGAAAGACATAAAGAGGCAAAGTCTGACCAAAGTAATAACTCCAAGTCTTATACATGACAGAACAATGCAAAGGATGGCACACCAAACTTATTCTTAGTTTCTGATACAATAAAGTAAACTAACTATATAGATCAGAACTAATTAATCCTAGGGTCTAATATTCACTCTAATTTGAGGACATAAGGATACCCCCCCCCACCACCACTTCAAGATCCTATGGTTGTTGTAAAACAAATAAAATGGAGATAGAAAGCAATAGACAATATCATATTGCCATGATATGGTCAATGTCAGCTTCTTGATTGCTCTACTCCATTAAATATGTTGTATGAAAATCTGTCTTGATGCTAACTGCATAAAATTCCAAACTTTAATGTTGTGCCTGCATGTAAACAATTCATTGTTATAGGTATCATTAATAACAAACTCTCCATTATTTCAGTAAAGATAAACCCTCAAACTGTGATATAATGTTAGTGAATTAGGACTCAGCAGAGAGGGTGGGATATGATTTAAAGAAATGTCATAGAAATTTACATTTACGATTTAAAAAAAAATGAATTTAGATATTTCTAACTTTTCTTACTCAAAATAAAATAAATGAAATTTTATGAATTATAACATGACTAGATAGTGGAAATTGAATAACTTTCATGTCAATTTTTTTAAAATTTAATGAATAATGTTTGTGATGTGTTCATAATCCAATATTCCTGGTTGAATTGTGACCAGAAAAACAGGTGTTTTTCAATTTGGGAGTAAAGGGCATTTACAGTTCAAAAAATGGGCAAAATCAGCTTCTGAATCAAGTAATGAATACTGCTAATTTAATATATCATTCTTACTTATTATGATTCAAATGCATTGTTTCACCAGCTAGTGATATTTTCACCCATAATCCCAATAACATTTCACAAGATCTATCCAGCTTAAGATATATAGGTTAGTCCTAAGTCCACATACTAAGTTCAAAAAGCAAAATAATCTTTTTTACTAAAAATAGATATATATATTAAACATTTTAACCAATACTGTTAAGGAAAGTAATATTTAAGAAAAACATACAACACTTACAAAACACAAAAATTACTTGCTTGGTTCAGGCTCTGTCACAGATTCCTTAAAAAGTGTGACATTAGTATTTGCAAAACTAACTAATCCTCCCTAACACAGGGGGAAAAGTTTTTGTTAGAATGCGTATTCTGTAACACAAATTTCCTGTTTTTGAATTTTCAAATGTGTCAGTAAAGAATTCATCAAACGTTGGTAATTTGACAACATGGTACAAATAATGGACAATCATATGCAAGCTTTTTCAAGGATAAAAACAACAATGCTGGAATAAGGATGTGTTATAACCAATGGCAAACTTTTTGTATGAATAACAGACTTTCAAGATGGCAAAAAAAAACATGTTCAAGAGAAAATGCACACTACAATACTTGTTATAGAGAACTCTAATTGTTGAACATACCTGGAAACAACCATCATGACAAAGTGAACTATGTCAGAATGAAATAATTATATGTAGCTATCATAATATAGAAAAATCAGAGGGAAGGTATATAACATTTTGAAAGATGCAGAAGAAGAAAAAACAATGGAAGGGTAGGTACCATGGTGTGATGAGCAGAATCTGACACAGAATGTATCCAATCATTTTTCAGAGAAGGATAGACATAGAGAGAAATGTCAAACTAATACTAATTGAAACATACTCCACCATATCTAGTTGATCTAAAACCAGATAGAGGGGGAAAAAAAAAAAGATGAAGCTTTTATTTGAAAATCATATCAAATTCCTTGATCAAATGTAGATCTAATGATAAATGTCTGGATAAAGAGAAAATTCCGTGGGAATAACTGGTCGATAAGAGAACTGAATGGAAATAAAATTTATGACCAAAGAAATATGGTATGTCAAAAGAGAAACTGAAGGCAACTGAATACACAGTGTAATGTATATTTATAATTTCAGATAGATTTGCATCTATCTAATTAAATGTTCACTTTCAATGAGAAAAACACTGTTTATTCAATGCAAGGATACACTCATATCAAAGATGTTAAGTTTTTTGTTGACAAAATTAAAATATTATTTCAAGATAAAACAAACTTCTTACATAAAACTAAAAAAAAGTTATGTTGTTGTCAATGGTATCTATTGCAATTTGGTATGAAACCTTCACTTACCTCACAAAATGAAATAAAAGATCATACTTCACAAACTCAGATACACTTGCATGTCAGTAAAAACATGCATGAAATTTTCCTACAACAATGTAAGTGTTGAAAAGCTTGAAACTGAAACTTTTTCTAAATCATGAGATAATCCCTGATTTTTGCCTTGTGTAGAAGCCAAAAACAGTCCTACAAAACTCTTATTTCAAATTACCTCATGACAGGCCCAGTGGAGAGGGGTTTGGCCAACATTATCACTGTTGTCTACTCGTGCCCCTTCTTTAAGAAGTAAACTAGCACAGCTGAGGTTGTTCTGCAAGATGCTGTATATAAGAGGCGTTCTTCCAAAGTCATCTTTATGCTCTAAGGCCACTGCAGGAGCTGTTTCTAGAAACTTCTTCATGGAAGTTTTATTAGCACTGAGAGCAGTTTCATGCAGAGGTGAGATTTCATTTGACAAAAAGTTCATTTCTTGAGACAATCATCTGTAACAAACATAGTCTAACAATCATACTGTAGAATATGTGTATCTAACTCATGGTATAATAAACTGTTTGAAATGCAATGTTTGTCTATCTTGCTGATTACATGTGAGAATATGTGGCTTGCTCTATAACAGTATTGACAGATTAAGTGCATAGTAATAATAATTTTAAATCTTTTAATACAATTTATTTGGTGCTACTATAGCATGCAGTCTACACAGATACAATTATCACCACCATTTTAATGATTCACTAAAACATAATATCTTGGTAAGTAATTTATATCTATCCAGGTTTTTGTTCAGCAAATAATAATAATTGAATAAGTTGTGTGTTCCAAAAGATTACTTTAAATTTAGTTCATAACTGTGCTAGTTTTGATTATTGGAATTTATTTCATTACGATTATATTTGCCCCAAAAATTTTATGTAATGGTATTTTGTCTACAAAGATATTTACACGATAGCATGCAGTCTACATAGTTACTATCATCATTACCATTTTAACGATTCACTAAAACATAATTTCTTGCTTAGTAATTTATATATATCTGGGTTATTGTTCAGCAAATAATAATAATTGAATAAGTTGTGTGTTCCAAAAGAGTACCTTAAATTTAGGTTACAACTGTGCTAGTTTTGATTGTTGGAATTTATTTCATTACAATTATACTTGCCCCTAAAATGTTATGTAATTGTATTTGGTACTTTATTAGTTTAAAAGCATTATTTATAATAAATGGCACGAATTGCAAATAAACTAAAGTTAAAATAGTGATGATGATAGTATCTGTGCAAGCCGCACGCTACAGTATAAATATCTTTGTAGACTGCATGCTATAGTAGCACCATTTATTTATTACAACAAACTATACTATGCCACGATATCATATTTGGATAGATTTCTTCTGTTACCAATATTACAAGTTTTATATTTTACTCCATTCAAACCTCGCACATGTAATTAAGATATTGTTATCCATGTACTTTCACAATACTGTTAAAGAGCATGTTGAAGACTTTCAAAGAAAATTAATGAAACTGTTTTACAGTAAGTTTCAATAATTTCATCCAACTATAAAAATACAGGTCTTAACACCAGAAAGCAATATATAAAACCAATAAGCTCTTCAGAAATATTTGAACATTTTCAGGTTTTTGGTTGGGCAAGTTTATGGGGAGCATTTAGTACCATTTGATGTTCAAGTGTTCATTTATGGCATGGTGGTGACAGTATAGAACTTTGCATTTCTTATTTGAAAATGTTTAATTTGTAATCTTAATAGGCTGAATGAGTTTGCCAAACTGTTGCTTATGATGTGTTTTACAATGAATAAATTATAAAATACAATATTAAAAACTATTTCCTGGTTTTCATAAGAAGGTGGACACAACATTCCCTGGTCAAAATTATCATGTCAAATTAGTGAAATTATTCAATATTTTATAGATATGTGTGCATTTAATTTTATTTCTATATAAAAATGGTTTTAGGATAAAAGCTGGTTTCCACCTGAAAAATACATATTATTATCATCCTTTACCATGATAATCAACTAAAACTTTTTCAGTATAACTGATTTAGAGTAATGAATAAGAAATCTGTCCTAGCCATGTACATTATGCAAGACATTTGCATGCTCACTCTACCATATTGAAATTTCCCTGGAAGGTGGTATGAAATTCACCAACTTTTATTTTTAGTTAAATTCCTAGACTGGTAGGAACCCTGTATTGGACATTGATATGTTTATTGTTTGGTCAAATATTCATACATCACACAAAGAAATAAAGACTTTTAAGCCAGATTAGAAAAAACACCAATGTAACAGATGCTGCTCTTCTAGATAAATCCCATGCTTCAGAAATATTGATTATAAGTCTAAAGAGGTTATAATTTAATTGTACAGATCACTGGTTAGGCCACATTTGGAATATTGTGTTCAGTCTTGGGCTCCTTACGTTAGGAAAGACACTGAACTGTTGGAAAGGGTTCAGAGAAGGGTTACTAGAATGGTGCCTGGGATGGAGGGACTGTCATATGAGGAAAAGGCTGAAATCTCTCAAATAGTTTTCTCTTGCAAAAAGAAGATTTAAGGGGGACCTGATTGAGGTGTTTAAGATTATACAGGGAACTGATAGTGTTGATGCATCAATTTTTGTTCATATTTAACAGTGAGAATAGTAAGACCAGGGGACACAAATATATAACTTAGCAAAATAGGAGTCATCTTCAGCTAAGACAGTTTCATTTTTCTAACAGGGTGGTTGGCCTTTGGAATGGGTTGCTTTCGGATGTTGTAGAGGCAGTAAATGCGAGTTTAAGAAAAAGCTTGATAAATATATATGAATGATAAGGGGTGGCTTTAGAATTTTTTAAAAATTATTTTAATTTAGTTTACATTATGGAACAGTCAAGGTGGATCAATAGGTCCCACGTTGTCCCAAAACATTATGTTATGTAGTCTTTTATAGTTACATACTTAACAACAACCAAAGTCCATATTTATAGGACATTCCACATCATCAAGGAAGTTACATGGGTAGTGATTAATATTTGTAGGAAGAGGGCTGGATATAAAGGGATATTTTTCTGCTAGTTGAAGGAGATTTGGAGCCAGAACATAATGACTAAAAAAGGCCCTTAACATTGAATAAGTGATATAAACTATATATGATAAATAAAAAAATTGAAACAAAGGCTGATGAAAACAGATCTACTCATATTCTAACATCCACTGAGTAACACAACCTAAGTCTGGAATAAGGTCTATAATTTGTTTCCTTATTCAAATAAAATTAAGATACATTGGTAAACTTAAACTTTACAGCACAACAATTTTTCTATATATTTGACATTATTGTACTATGGAAGTTATATGAAGTTGAAAACTTCATTTAATAATGAATAACCATTTAATCAAGTATATCTTACACTCACAGTCACAATGAAGTAATTATTTTACTTATTTTTTGTGATTTTACTCAAATTTAAACTGCGAAGTAACGAAGACGATTAATCTATGTTACCAATAATAACTTAACTAAGTAAAGTTTATTTATTAATTTGATATAAAAATAAACTAATAATATAATTATTATACACTAGTGAACTAAGTAACGTTTTACTAGACATAATCTTGTAACGTTAGCAATTAGCAACATTTCGTACAAGGTCTGCAGCTTTGTACTGGTGGTACCGTGGTAATGAAGTCAATAATCTACTAACTCTTGAGCACTTGGAACTTAATCCTAACCACTAACGAGTACTGACTACGAAAACTAACTAATGCATTTTGACTTTTAATTTGTATATTTCGATAGATCAGTTAACACCATATCATTTTATTTTTACTTACTGAATTTTAATTACAATTTATAAATGCTAAAATCGGTCAGTATAAATATCAAATAACGAAGTAAACTGCAACTACTTCTTCGATAAATTTACGTGCCAAAAAGTAACAAACAAACAAAAAAAAAAGATAGGTCAACACATAAAAAATAGGAATTCTTACTTGTCATTTAGCCGATAGAGGGTGATTTCGGTTGTACTAAAACATTACATTGTGAAAAAACAACAACAACGAACAAAGAAAACATTCGTTATGTTCCAGATACTAACTTAAGGTTTCCATATATTGTGAAGTTAATCAATAAAAATATTTAAAGCCAAGCTGAATAAATTTGCGGACATTGCTGTTGTTTTGGCATCAAAGAGAAAGTATCTGAAATTTGATTCTGTCATAGAAAGGTTTAACATGCATAAATAAAAAACAATAAAATATATTGTATATTAAAAACTTGTTCAAAGAAGGAAACGCTGGACATTTTTATCCCAAACTACTAATTATTTTAATGTTACAAGAGACAGCGTAAAATAGACCATGTGCAACAATATTATGCAAGGGTATATGCGTTTAACAAAGTTTTGATAATTGAAAAGTAGTCAAATTTCACTCTTCCATAAAAAGTAGAGATTATATATTTATTCAGCCATATTCGAGTAAGTTTATTTAAAATTTCATGCATACGTGGTATTTCAGGTTCGTATATTTTATACCGATTAATCGGGTAAGAACCGTAGAATGACGAGAGGTTCGCCAGAAATTTTATTACAGAACAGACTTTCTCATAATCTCGACTGAGTTTGAAGAAAGGAAAAAAAAAGACTAGACACAAGTTTCACATGATAAAACTATTTTTATTTCAAAGCTTTGTTTGTTTGTTGAATTTCGCGCCTACTCAAGGACTGTCTGCGCTCGCCGTCCCTAATTTTAAAGTGATAGACTGGAGGAAAAGCAGTTAGTCAACACCATCCACTGTCACCTTTTGAGATATTCTCTTCGAACACCACATTACAACGTCCCCACGGCTGAGAGAACGGACATATTAGGTAACAGTATTCGAACTCGCGACTTGCAGATTGCGAGTCGAGTGCCCTAGTCACCAGCCTATGCTAGGCATTTTATTTCAAAGCACAATAAAATAACAATCAGAGTTAAAGGCAAGTATAAGCTATAGCGCTCTTACTGGAGAGAGCTATGATTTTAAGAAAAGTGTTCTGGTAAATTCTAAGTTAAATTGTTCCAGTTTAAGTTCAGTCATATCTTAATTGCTCCAGACTGAGGAAACATGATATTATATAATAAAACAACAATAATATTGTTTACAGTGTGTAAATATTACCCACGTAATGGACAGTCACGTTCATCTCAAAACAAGAAATGCTGTAAACCTGAATCATCGTCTGATCTGCCATTGGAAAAGATCATGTTCGATTTCTACATACAATGCTCGACGTTACAGCAATCTTTGTTACGAGATAGTGCACATTACATCTTTGCTGACTGATCTAGTTTCTTGAGTAACTAGGGTAAGAGGAACTCATTAGTTCCATTAACTGACACTGTATGTTAAGAATGCATGCTCAAAATGTTGACAAATGTAAAAATAATTTACATTAACTAAGGAGAAGTAGAAAACACATGATATGCAGACATACCATACAGATGTTCTCCATGCAGTTATCAACATATCTTTGCAAACCAAATGTACAAAGTCATATATTTGTACTAATCCTCTTGCTAATACAAAGGTTACATATCACAATGAGTATTTCATAAGGTTCACACTAGCTTGGCTCTGTTTCTATCCTGTCATATGCTATCTTGGAGTGAGATCATACTCATGTTAGGGGTGGTACAAAGACTTATACAAGATAGTATTAACTAAGAAATTAACTCCCTTGAATATCCTTAATGGGAATGATTACTGATGTAGTAATCTAATGATTGTGGAATACGATTTATGACCTTAGTTTGTCCTAACAGTGTGATGTCTTCATTATCCTTGCTCATATCTGCATCTTGTGGAGAGATAAGAAAACATTACTCTCTCTATTTCTCAGCAACCAGTAGTCTTTACGATGAACTTAGGATTTAACCATAACAGGAAGAACTCCAACATATTTCATAATTTTATAAATAAATATATTGTTTTACATTCAAGTTCATATTTGCTTGCTTTTCCTTTTCCATTCACGTTCAAGCTGTTTTCTGCATAACACATCCAGGACTTATTGTTTTTGGGATAATTATCTACCAGAAATCAAGGTACCTGAATATCTGATAGAAACATGATAAACAATTGTTATGTTTAAGATGTTTTTTCGAGAAAATTAAATTATTTTAACATCAATTACTGAAGCTTGTAATACTTAATTTGTGGTAAATCCAGGTCAAAATTATTCTCCTCAGGGCGATGGATTAGGTCAGATCAGTAACAGGAGATTCAACAAGGTATCTAATGTGAAGTAATTCTGAGTTCTTTCACCTTAACAAAGTTCAGGAGAAAAAAATAGAGTCTGGACACAATCTTAAATACAACT